GACTTAACTGCTGTTGTCAGGTAAGTGGCAACGAAACTGACATGATGACCTGGGTCGGTCTGCTTTAGGGGCTGACGCGTGAGTCCGGAACTTCTTGCTATACCCCACCTGGGCACCCCTCGCCACGATGAGGCAGCAGACCATGAGGAGGTTACATAAAACTAGGGTGGAAAAACTTCTTCCGTGGTAAAGTTAATAGGATTAGGTACAACCCCTCAAAAGTTCAGGCTGCCTGAGCTTTTGTAACCTTGTGCCTAACCCCATTGACATGTTATCAATATCGAGAAATCGCCCCATTCCTGGTCTGATTAGTGAGCTCACAACTTGCTACAGCGAAAACTTAGAGTCAAACACCGCACCCCCGAAACTGCGGCCATTTTGATAGACCCTTCAGATCGAAATGAGCCGTCAAATTACGTATGGTTGTAAAGTGCGTCACGGAAAATCGGGCGTAAAGACTCAAAAACTCAGAAACTCTTGAAGGACGACGTCCTCCAGAATGTTTCACTCTGAGGTTTCAGAATTAAAGAGAAGTAAGAGGGTCGTTTGGGGGCTTTCAGGGGATGGAGGAGGAGGGGTCGTTTTCGAAAGGCTTGCACCTACCTCTTGCTCAAGTCTGGTCATGACTATTCTGATAATAAGCATACAAGTAAAAGAGCGATTATCGCTTTGAGTGGAGATTTCGAGATATTGAATACAACAGTGTACGTCCGCCCCATATGCCCGATATCAAAGCCCCCACAAGAGTCTGAAAGAAAAACTCACTAGCGAAATTAGAATGGTAAAAATGAAGGTTTGCAGTGCTCGTTGAAAGAATTGGGAACTGGGACTGCTGCTGCTAGAAACTGCTAGAAAGGGGAAGAGATATTATATCGAATGCTGATTTTACTATACTGGATTTGAAAACAAAACTTTCGCGCCGATCCAATACAACAAGATCGTCACAACAATTTGCGTAGCTTCTAGCAATCAACGATGCAAGTATTATAAGCACTCTAAGTGCAACCTGCCGAAGGCAAAAACCCGTGAAGGGTGGAAGCTGGCAGAAAGCTAGCTACCACCGTATAAAAACTCTTCCATGACGAAGGCGTCGCTTCAATGTGCGACCGGCGTGTTCGAGCATAAGAGCTCGCACGCCCGCGCACCCTCGCATATCTGGGCGATCGCCTTCGTCCTGGATTAGCTTTTACTTGCCATATCCATGCAGGGATTTTTAAGATGGAAGAATTTCAAGAATCTCAATTTTGACCTAATCGGTAAACTTCATCATATAGGGTTGATTGCTCAGCAGTGTGATTGGTCAGGCGAGCAAATTCCTTTGCTATTGGTGTGCCATTGCAAACTCCGCGATGGCGATCGGTCACAAACTTTTTGAACAACAAATGGACGACATATTCAATAACATCTCGTCACCGCAGTCTTGCTTAAAACGTAGAAGTTGCAAGTAAAACCATATCCAGGCACTATGGCCAGCTTTTCGAGACAATGTGCGATTGCACACATAGAGCGGAACTGCTCACCTGTATAGGTCATTTTCAAATCGTGACGACGGACTTGACTGCGGTGTTTACGCCCACAGAAGCATAAAACACACATACAAAAAGGCATCATCTCAACGCTCAGCTCAGCCACTTCCAGTGTCTAAATACTACCACACGTAGGCAGAGAAAAACCCCTCATGTAGAGTTGAAGACCAACAGCGGTTGCCTCAAATGCGTGCGTGTCGCGCGCGATCGCGCCATCGTCACGATTTTTCGAATGCCCTGTATTTTCCTGTGCCTTCATGTCATGAGTCCCACATCTGCCTCTGGCCACTCAGATTTGCTTGGCGCATTTGCTTTCAGAGTGCTGCGCAGATGACAGCTATTTGCGGTCCATTTGACAGCAGACACATTGCTTGGTGACCGTTCGGAGCTGCGCGCTTATTGCTGTGTGTGAGTACGTGATTTCATAAACCAATGGACTGTCTGCGCGGACTACTAGAACAAGTTTAGCAACTTCGCAAAATACCCATAATACCCAAAATACCTAGTTGTCCGCTCAGGCAATGTCTATCGATCGCGCAATACCTTCTATAGTTAATCAGCTCCTCTATACATCTCCCACAAAATCCAAGGACACCTAACGCTGCCCTGTAAACATTTTGATGTTAAGATTACTAGCCGGATTTTAAAGCATTTTCGTTTTGTGCATCTGCCAGACTCATATCAGATCAGTCAAAGAGTCACTAAACTCTACAATATACCTAAATAAAGTCCAGATATTTTCGTGACGGAAAACTCTGTTGGGCGTAGCTGTCAGCGTGTCCTTGGATTCATATTTGATTTATATTTATTTACACTAATCCATATTTTTGCTGCCTTGTGGTCGCCTGCTTTGCAATATAATCACCGCCAACGCTTCTTGATTCCAAAAAAAAAAATTAGTGTGATGAATGTCATAATGCTGGTAGACTTACACTATTATATTTTCGCGGACTGAAGTGCACCACGCGATTTAGAACAGGAACAGCTATAGAAGGTGCTCTCTTATCATTGTACTCCAAGTAATACCTATTCCCTGTCAATGCAACGCCCAGTAACGCCACAAGACTTTTTTGCATGAAGCAATCGTAAAAGTTCCTCTCTGTACATCGAGGGTAAGAACAGAGCTGTTAGCAGCTAAACTGAAATTGTCAATCTTTGACCAGATGAATATGAATGAATATGATATCCATAATCTTTGGAGATCGTAGTCCTTAGAGAAAGGTCGACTAAATGGATATTTCTGACAACGCATCTCCTAGCTATGCAGAATATTCCCATCTCCTTATCTCACTTAATACCGACTTTTTGCTGCAAGTGTTGAGTATTCCGCTATAGTCTTTTATTGAAAGAGTTACATCTGTCAAAGAGGCCTTTCCTGATTAAAAAATCTTTCTTTTCTTTTTCATAGCATGTCAAATTACCCGCATCTAACAGCATGACTGCCTAGCCTATTTTGCTTGAGGACAATGTCCGAGCAGATTGCGACATTTCATGAAAAACTCTCCGTCTTTCCAGGTTGCTGAACGTGATTATGGGCTTTGTTATGATTAAATCATATGAAGAAGTGTTCTTGCACCCTTCAGGTTGAAGGCACCGTTTACCCGATCTGAGGGTAAAGAGATTTTGATGTCATATATTTGAAAGGCCCCTAACTAGGCCATCGCCCAAGTCTCGCTGCAAAAATGAATTTTGAAGCGGAAGGATTGCTCCAGAGGAAAAAAGCTTCATTCGCCCATAAACGTGGTTGGGGCTCCGATATCTAGAGTCGTCATAAATTCGTCATAAATTCATAAATTCATAATGATTAAATTTCGACCTTCATATCTAACCTGAAGCCCGACTTCAAACTTTTTATCTTCAAACCACCAAGTTGATGGTCAGAGTCACTGGTGCTTCTACCTCCTGAGTTTTCTCGCCTAAATTCATATTTTGCAGCGAGAGTGGGCGATGGTTTAGTTGGGTGCCCCTTCATTATATGGCATCAAAATCTCATTACCCTCAATTTAGATGGACGGTGCCTTCAGCACAGCCCTTTGCTCAAGCTATGGCGGTTAATCTGACAATAAGTTCTACGGAAGGGAATGCAAATTTTGGAACATGAGTAGGTGGGCAAGCTGGCAACTAGAGATAACGAAATAGAGAGAATTCCTATCTCGACAGCAGAATATGGGTTTGAACCTGAGTGAAATAATAGATAATAAATGAATAGTAAGTATTAGTAATACTAATAATAAATTAAACATTGCCCACTTCAGGGTACAACACAAGTACCACGGCAGAACTAAACTTTATTTTTTTTTTCATGAAAAGGAGGAGTTTGCTGAAATTTTTCACATTTTTACGGACTCAGATTCAGAAGAGCGAAATGGCTGTAGCCGCAGCTACTAGTACGATTTGTAATCACCTTTATTATGTAATTTCATTAAAACAATCTACATTCGGATAACATAACATGTGAAATATATAATTTATATAAAGATATATATTATTATCAACAACCCAGCAATGGTAAATCTCGCATAAAAGTTTGCGGGGCAATTTGACGCTGATCACAGAAATGATATAATCCCTTATGAACCCTTCTTTGCGATGTTACAATAGAAATAAGGTGAAGTGCAGATCGTAAATCCATGATTGTCTGAACCTGCTCATTTCCATGATTTCTACTTGTTTCCTTGCCTCTACTAATTTGTCCGATTGTATCAGTTGGTAATAGATTTAATGCGCTAGCAAAGGTTCTAGAGAGGAGCAACAAGTAGCGAGTCGTCGATTGCCGCGCATTGTGTGTAGACTCACTCACATATTAAATCACAAATGACTCGAGTATAACTATCGTGCCCCAAAAAACCCTGACATGATTTTTTCATTTCATTTATTACATAGGGTTACCCCTACGGCAAATCATAGAAAAAACACATCAAAAACAAACAATTATATCAACACAGATTCAGTTAGCAGTACTCAAACCCGTGTTAGTAACAACATCGTTGTATGCTCGACATCTGTAGATAATTTCCTAGAATAATCTTGAACGAAGACAACTTGGCAGGAAATAATCAGTTTCTAAGAAGCTTGCCCCTGTCATGTCGACTCGGCACGGGAAACAATTTCTTTGAACCTCAAGCTTTGATCCGGAAATGGCTAGTTTGCTACATCCACCTCTTGTGAACATGTCGAATGAACCTAGTATACAAGTCCATCAAACAAAATTCGAGATTTTTGGGGTTAGCAAATTAGATGGCTGGGAGGTTTTGAGCGTCTCCAGAACGCAGTGACCCTAAAGTGTGCGCGTTCTTATGCGGAAACGATGTTCGGGGCGTATGGGGTACTAGGTCATAGAGATCGGCCATGATCAGCTGATGATATGTGGCGATGTCGGTGAGTCGCTGAAATCGCGCGCCGCTCGCTTTTCCCCCATTAGGATCGATCACTCGATCGCCGTTCTTCGCGATTCCTCGTGTTGCCCGTGTTGATCGTCGTTGCGCGTTCTTATCTACCACTCCCGCATCTGTACTTTTATTCAGATCTCACAGCTGTGCGAATTTGCAGGCGAATGAAGGAATACAAGCTGGTCGTCTGTGGATGTGGTGGTGTCGGAAAAAGTGCATTGGTAAGAATATCCTATCCTTTTAAACTCGAGGGAGTATTCGGGAATTTGAAAAGCCCAAATGCATCACAGTTGGTTCCGTTCACTATGATCGATAGAATCTACAAAATAAGTGCTATAAGCGTGAAACTCCTGCATCGAAGTCCATTGTGCGTCTTTTTTTCATATTTTTTTCATATTTTTTTCATATTTTTTCGTATTCTTGAATATCCTCTTTAAGCTCGAAAATTATCGGAGACATGTCTTTGCCAACCTGAATCTTAAGCTAAGATGCTTGAGTTTAACTACAGATTGATTGTGCATGTGCGAACATCCATTTCTGTAGTTTCTCTCCAAAGTTCATGATTTTTTTGTCCATTTTCGAGTGTCTCGCGCTGTACCTGATGGTGCCTAATTATTCCTCGTCTATACTCTTCGCCCATTTCGAAAAGATTCTTTAAGTATACAAATTTTTTCTCATACAAAATTTTCCTTTATTCAAGTGAGTTTCTTGAAGGTCAATGTCATCTTTGATTGCTTGGAGGTATTTCTTACCAATACCTCTGCTATAAATATCGAAAAGTGCGTTTTACATGATGTATTTCCATGGCTATCTTGCGAAAGTTGTCCTTTTGTCCATGTGAGCTTTTGCACCAACTAGTCTTCACTTACAAGTAATTAAGGTTCACAAATTTCTGCCATTTTTGGAAATCTATTTATCCGTCGTTTTTTGATGTTGGTCACTCATCTGTTGAATTTCTTATCAGGGCTCGGCACAGCTTGCACCGGATCAAGCAGAATATCGTTTTTGGGACAAAAAGCAAAGGGGATATCGTTTTTGTGGTCGAAAAGACACAAAAATTGCAACGTTTTTTTTAGTCGACGTTTCGTTTTTTAAAGGGTTTTTTAGGGTTTAGGATCAAAGGAGACTTCGTACGAGATTTTCAAGATCAAAGAGGACTTCGTTTTGAAATTTCCCTGATGGCAGCTAGTGCTGAGCCCTGTCTCTTATCGACAGCCTTTACTCATTGTTGGGCTCGGCGGCGTGGCGTTATGGAAGCTACGCCGCATTCGCCTGCGGTATATCCTGAGGGCCCCTTGCGTTGTGTCGCTCGTAATTACACCCGCAGAGGAGCTAGCGTTACCCAGCGGATTGAGTCATTCTCGAAATTCTTCTTCTGTAGAGAGACCAAAATGCGGAAGTTAAACGAATGAAGATGAAAGAATAGATTCTGAGGAAGAAGTGTGTGAAAGTACCACCCAAGAGAAAGTAAAAGCTTAGAAAGTCAGTAACGAAAATTTTCTGTCCATTTTCTCTACTAGTACTCGTGTTACACTTAAAATCAGTATTTCATTCTCATCCGGGATTCAGCCTTTGCATCCGTAAAATCCATCTATTTTTCGATTTCAAATGCCTTTATTGCATTCATGCAGTTTGGACATCTACTCAAGGCGTAGCAATAGGGAATGGCTCAGTTCGTTGTCAGGAGTCAGGAGCGGCGTACTCCTGCGGCTGCAATTAAAGGCGACGCAACGCAACTGGCCCTCAGGATATACCGCAGGGGAATGCGGCGCTGCTTTGCTACATAACGCCTGCCCCCCGTTGGGCTCCACTAAGTGCAGGTTAATTATCGTGCGTAATTTTCATGGAATAAAAACGATGATTCGTGCTACATATCACATTCTGTCGCGCAGACAACTAAGTGGATGTCGTAATTTCGTCGCGATAAGTGATATCGCTCAGATTGTCACGTATGATATACGATTGTTCTTAGATAGAAAGAGTTCGCAAATTTGCTTCCCTGATATTAACATATAGCTTTGAAATCAAAACACTTCCATCATTCATTGCCAAAAAAACCATCGAAATTTGTCTTCCACAGCTTGAGACTACAGTTTCTTCTAACTAAGAAATCTAGCAAAACCTGTCTTGCTTTCCTGCCTTTTTACCGCACCAGATAAATTATTAAATGTGTAAGGCTGTTTCATTCAAACACCTCATGGTATCAGTCGGCATGAAGTCAAGTTTTTTTGAGAGTCTTTCTTCTTTGAATTCGGGAAGTATCAAGTCTCCTCTCCAAAAATTTAAAGTTTGCAATGAGCTACCGTAACGAAGGACCAGCAGTCCTCGATCGATATATCGATTTTTGAACTGGACTTACTCTTGTTCTATATTTTGTTCTATACAGCAGTTTCTGGTTTTTGCATTCTAAGCATACGGATATTTTCTCCTTACGAGCACCTTTTGCTTTTTGACCTAGGTACAAATCTCAATGTGACCTCGTTCAGTTTGGCCTTACCATTTCCCCTTTGCTTATATCGCTTATAAACTTTTTTGGAGGAGATATTTTATCGTGCTCATATCTTTATGCAAATTTCCAATTTGGTAGTCAGTAACAATAATATCAGGTTGGCACGAAAGTTTGTTTGCACCATTTTCAAAATTTCATTTTGTCTAATTTTTAACCGATTTACTTGTTGTATTTTTATTTGAAGGAGTAAATCATGCTTCATAATGGTAATTTAGCCATAATAATTGTAATTGTATTGAGCTACCTTGCTAGATAGAAGCCGAAGAGAATTGTCTGAATATTGGTTTTTTTGTGTTTGGTCGTGAGAAATATGAAACTTGCAATGGAAATCGGAGGATTCGGCTTGATAGGTTTCATTAAGATGGAACGTCTCTATGAAAGGTTATGAGTTTGAAAAAAAGAGCCAAAGAAAATCTGCTGTTTTGTACTGCTCGCTCAAAAAGCAGAACTTCTCATGTAGGCGTTCAATCCACCAAAACCTCCAACACCGACTCCGTGGACAAGTTTCAGGTTTTTTGACTAAATACAGAAAAATCAAAATTTAAGTGGTTTCCATCTACGGATTCTATCTATGCAACGTAGCTTGATACAAAAATGCTAGTTTACTATTAAAAAGCATATTTTGCTCTTTCAAGTTAAAAAATCGGGGAAAAACCACATGTTATGATTTTTCAAAAGTGGGCAAGCTTTCGTGCCAATCTAACGGAAGTAAAAGGTGCGTATGTATGACTGCATTGCTAGTCCTTTTTAGCCATTTCCTGCTTAACGAAAATCCGAGAGTTTGCTCCATAATAACGACCGGGGTTGGGTTGTAGAGCTGCTTTAGAATATTGATGGAATCTGCTGACAACTTTGTTCCGAGAGGAATTTGCTCAAACTTTTTTGGCAGATCGATTCGCAGAGTAGCTCATCCCATCATATCAAGTCTTCTCATAAAAATTGCTTATGCATAGCACTTTGTCTGTATGCTATGATAGTATACAACTTTTTCTTTTTTATCCTTCTGATCTCATTTTTAAGACTGTGCAGTTCGTTCAAGGACAATTTATCAGCTCTTACGATGCCACTATCGAAGACAGTTACCGAAAACACTTTAGCGTTGATGGCGAGGATTGCCGATTGGAGATTCTCGACACGGCCGGTACGGTCCGTGAACCGTTTTTTTTGCGAGATTTTTGAATTTTTCAGTGATTTTCGTCGCTTTAGGAGCAATTCACCGGCATGCGAGATCTATATGTAAGGAATGGCCAAGGATTTATACTTGTATATTCTATAAACGATCGAAACTCACTCAGTGAGCTAAAGGAGATTCACGATGTAATCGTGCGGTTGAAAAAGAGCGAAAATGTCGGTGTTTTGGGATGACACTGATTTTCCTCATATTTTCCACAATTTAGGTGCCTATGGTACTTGTTGGTAACAAAACCGACCTACAGAGAATGGTTCCAGCGAGTGTTGGCCGAGAAATGAGCAAACAGTTTGGTTGCTCGTTTTACGAAACCAGTGCTAAACTCAACGAAAATGTTGCAGAGGTTTGTCTTTTAACGCAGGTAGAGAAATGTAGCTATTATTACCTGCAGTTCTTTGTAGTTCCTGAATTATCTTCCATCTAACGTGTTCTTTTCGGCAGATTTTTATCGACTGTGTACGACAAATTGGTAAAACTGGAGGACATTCTAGGACAAAACGAACGCTGCGATTAGGAAAGAAAACGTCACCAAAAGACGATAAAGTAAAGCAAAAGTCAAATCAAAAACAGGGCTGTTGTAGAGTGATGTGATATGTAATTATCGTTGTAATTATGTGTATTTGAAGCTATTCAGTAAATGTGATTTACCTATTCTCCCAATAAGCACTGTGAAGATGAATGCCATATGAACGCTTTATAAAAAAATGTATTTACAACGTGCAGAAGAAGTACTATCTCTCCACTTACGCCCCAAAACTATTTGCAAACAAACGAAATCCATTTCTCTCCTTCATTCAGGAAGGACTTATTTTGAGTCGTTCCATAAATTCGTGCGGTTTTTATGAACCAACAAAATGACGGGATTTTTTGAAAATTCGGTTGGTAATGTATGTTCACTTGATGTGCACAACACCTTCTGCTACCTTGCCAACAAATTTTAGGCGAGTCTAGTTCCAAAAAGTCGTCTAACAGCGATCGTTTTCAGAACCGGAACAAGCATTGCTCATATGGTTTGAGAGCGGAACAAATGGTAATCGGATGAGCGAGATTTGCGAAGTATGTTGGATACAAGTACCTTCCAGCCAGGTTCTGCAAGACAGTTTTGAAGACGTTTGCCATATGGCAAACGTCTTCAAAACTGTCTAAGGATGGAGCCTTATCTTGTCGTGCAGGGCAACTCACCGAACCCCTCTTTTCGGTATTTCTCTGAGGTAGAGATTCGTTGAACGGTGCAATTGGGTTGCATACGGTATGATCAACCGTTTTGTTGCCATCCAGAAATTTCAGGTGGACGTCCTGCTCGTCCCACGAAAAATCTCGTTCAAGGGACATACTGTTCAACCCTTCGTCTTCAGATGCAATCCAATTCTTTTGTACCTAATATTGATGTGCAAACGCCATTTCCAATAATCGGCAGAAAAATCTATGCAAAACAGTTTCTTTGCAAGAAAAACGTGCAGACGTCGAAAGTGCTTTTTGCCTCTCAAGAACTCCACATTTGGAAATTGAGAAATTGGAGCAATCAGATATGGTTACACCTAAATCAATAAGTACGTTATGAATAGCATGATCTCTTAATGATATGCGCATCTTGCCGCAAAACAATCGCCTTTAAAATTAGCGCGAGAATGAAAACGTCACGAACTTACCTATGGTACGACCTAGTACTTAAACTGGTTCGGGTTTTATCTGAGTGGTCCTCTCCCCTTACTTGCATGAATCAGTACTCATGATGATTTTTTTCACGATTTTTCCAACAATGGCCATATCAAATTTTAATTAGGAAGTTTATAGACGAATTTTCAGAGGTATAAGAACTGTAGAATGAAGCCCATCTTCCAGAACTTCCGTTAACTGCTCGCGATTTTTGCGATTGCGGCGTTCAACTACTGACGCTCTACTATAAACAAAGCATAGTTCTTAAGAAAGCATCTCAACTTTTAGCTGCGAGTAGGTGTAAAACAACTACCAGAGATTAGCCATGTTCCAAACTTCTTTATTTCGATGCGGGTTCTGCAATAGAGATCTCAATATTGCACTATTTCTTGAAGCACCCTATATTCGTTGAACATGAGTCAATTGTTGCAGCTTATTGTCTAGCTTTCGACAATCAGAGCTAGGTCAGATCAGCATAAACCCGAAGTGTTTGAGCGGTAGTAGCTCTGACGGAGTAGCAACATTCTATCTATCACACGTTCCCATCATCAACAACCTCTGGAGTTTCGTCAGCTTCTGTCAACGTTATTGCCAGCTCCTCGGCTGGAGGAGACATCTCTGGAGACGTTGTTCTATCCACCTACAAAATAATTTCAAATAAATTCAATACAATGGATAGGCACAGCACCTTTACGACAGGAATCGGATGCGATGTACGTCTGCTTTCGAAACTGTCGTACTGCAAGTACATGAGTATAAAGTGAAATATGTTGTACTTGGTTGTGCGAAAAACGTATTCGCTTGCACAACGCAGTGTGTATTTGCGGCCTTTGCAACTTTGGCTCGTCAAAGGCAGCATCCAACCAATAATTCTCCTTCCATGTTTTTGTCATTCTGGGGTTTCGACCTGACTACCGTTATGAAGTTCGTGCCAAACCCCCAAAAACCCGTTTTATGAGAGCCCTATCCTTAAAGCACAGACGACTTTCTGTACTTGGGGCGGAGCTTGATAGGATTTGGGCGTGGCTTTATAGCACTTTCGCGGTTCGGGGTCCGTTGTCTCCATTCAGAGAAAACCTGGAGGACCAAAACAACACAGATAAACTTCTCCTGAGGCCTACATTTAGAATAGTTACTACTCGGAGAATGCTAGATTTTTCCTGGACGCTGTCAGACATAGCAAGAACCCTTTGGGAATGGCGTTCCAAGCAGCGCAAGGATTTGCGATGCGGGGCCTTTCTTTGAACCTACGGATCTATGGTGCTCCCTTTGTTCCAAAAAAAAATGTAGACACTATTTGATTGCTAGCCAATAATTTTCAATAACTTTCTTGCTCCAATGTCTTCCACCAAAGACTATAATAGATACCATTCTGTGAAGCTTTGCTCCACAGAATGGTATCTATTATATTATAGTGCTTTACATATGATGTAACGAATAACCGACCTCTGATGAAAGACATTGGAACAAACGAATGAACGATTCCCACTTATATTGGGACCTGTATATAACATTACCGAAGGGGAAGCTTCAAACAAATCTACTGTTGAGGATTTGGGAGTAAATATAAGGAACCAACTCCTTTACCTAAATCGGCGTTATAGACAACATGCAAACTTATTGCGCCTGAACTGTTGTTTTCTATTTTCGCTTTTTTCGATCTCTCGCTCAGATTAGGAGTGTGTGGGAGAACAAAGCTTGCGCTGGATACATGTGATATGGATAATTCAGCACATATCGAACCTTACTGTCGCCGTAGTCGTTTGAAGACGATTTCTTCCTTCGTCGACTTTTCTTCTCGAAGAACATCGCATCGACGAACACAAACAACCTGAATGCAATTTTTCAGTGCAGCAAATTAGTAGACGATATTGGCTCACCACCAACACTGAATCAGGACGGCGATAAGACTAGCGACCGACAGCACCACTGCAGAAGGGAGCAAGAAACCAGTCCGTTGTCGCACCTCGGCGGAAAATGCGCGTTTGAGGATGCTGTAGGTGAAGTAGAGCAGAAGTTCAAGAACTGTCCACTGTAATGTCAGGCTTATAGTGGTTACACTTGTGTCCAGATACTCAAAGTCGTTCGGAATTATCAGTTTTATAAAATATTCGCTGGGCAATCCGTGCCAAAAAAGGTTGAAAAAACAAGGAAAAAATTTAAACGCATTAACATGGAAGATTATACGAAAAAAGGACTCGAACAAAAAATAATTTCGTTTTGGCAGCAGTTTTTCATAGAAATTTTTCTTTTTGTTTTGTATTTTGATCTCTAGTGGAAAAGTAGCACAAATATTCCTCTATCACATATCAAGTCACTGGGATATTCTATCATCAGAAAAGACAGTTATGCCTCAACATGGCTAAATTCCAAAAGCTCATTTCTTTGACTTCCTAATCATCTTTTCATGCTGTAATAGATGTAAAGAACAACAAATTGGTATTTGAATAAAGAGAAGTTTTCCCTATTTAGCGAATAACATAAAATTTGTGGTCTGACATTTTGAAAATCTCTTATTGAAAACCAAATTTTTGGGTACTTGCGTACTACGAGAAAAATGTGGTTGTTCACTTCTATCCGGCTTTTTTTCCTTGGAAAATAAGTTCTTCTCAAACAGGAATCATATTCCAATTCCCACTGAACTGCTCTTTCTAGAAATACTAAACATAAGATAAAAATTTGTCTGCCGCGTTTAAAAGAGCCGCAAAAGCGACCGAGCTTATTTATTAGCCAACATAATACCTTATACCTTCATAGCAACCAAGCGCAAAACGGCTTTCAGCTTGCTGCAAATTCTATTCAATTACAATTTCCAAACAAAGTATCCAACTTTTTTCAAAATCAACTTTAATCAATAGCTCCACTCTCTTGTATTAGGCCATCATTTGGCTATCAGAGGGATACTTGGCAGCGCGAAAAAAGCCTTTGAATAAGAAGCAAGAATTTGAGAACTTCACAACGTTTTTTTAAACCTGCCTTTTTTTCGACAGAGCGATGCTTTATTATAAGAGCAGTAGGCATATATAGTAGACAGAATTAGGTGGCGAAAATTCTAGAGAATATTAAATGATCGAAAAGAAAAGCCGTCTTTTGACCTTTTGTGCACGCATTTATACTCACTTTCTATTATGATTACGCTTGCTGAAATATTAGAAAGTAATTGGTGGAAGGGTGCTGCTAGATCTAACTTTGCTCTAGCACCTACAACGTTGGACTCATCGATTGTCTCTACTCAAAGAAAATTAATGCTTGTATGAATTTGAACAATGGACTTCAACAAGAACTCCTACGAGCAAGACTATCTTTATACATAAGTGAGTTTGTGCATACTCTAGCCCATTTCTTCGTTATTCCCAGACCAGTACAAGGACATGACTTGGAATGCTTGTTGTAAAGACTTTCTTACAAGAGCATAGTCTGTATTGAAGGTGAAATTCTCCGAGAACAGTTGGAACAGAGGGCAGCAAAAAAAACGGACAGAACTTGTGCAGCAATCTGCAGGTTGTCCCAAAAAATGCGAACGCTGTTTGATCGTAAATAATTCTGTTGTCATGAAGTCTTTCGAGAAGCTTGAGACAATATTCGGTAGAGCGAGGTTCAACTTAGACTGATACGGAGCGAGTCATCAATCACTCTTTATTGCTGTAAGATTACGGTACGAACTTTGCGAAGAATTCTTGGAAATTAAAAGCGATTTTTGTTTCAAAAAAAGCCAAACAGGCCAAAAACTCTTGTACGTGACTAGTCGAAGTCGCTGATACTAAATATGACGTTTGCAATCCATGTATTGCTTTTTTATGAGTTATTTCAGGTTTAGGTAAAAATCTGTTCTTCCAGTGTTGAACAGAAGTGCCTGTGCTCACATTTTTTAGGACACCTTGTATGTTCGTGTAACAAATGAAAGTCGTACAAAAGTCTGTCAAAGTTAGGAGAACCAAAGCATGTCTTAGACTATGGAAAAAAACAAAAGAAAAGAAACTTTGGCAAAGTAACTTTTCATTTGATTATAACCTGTTTTTACTCAGACTAAGCAATGAGATAGAAGTATTCACCCTTCCTCCGCTCATATCCAGGTGTTTACTCATAAAAAGCAACATTTTTGCGACTTGTTCCTTTTTGAAAAGACGAAACTAAGGAATTCAACAGTTAATGGGAATGGTCGCAACTTTCGTACCAATTATCGTTAGCTTTGAATTTTCATTATAGTTCCCTTTTGAATGTACATAATGCATTCAATCTTTGGCGTTAACCATAGGGACAAGACTGTGATGCTAGATTTTGAACTCACATACCTGCCAAAGGACGTGGATTACGTACAGGTAGGGCTTACGATAGTGCCAAACGGCCAAGGTAAAAGCTGAAATCAAATAGGCATGAAGAACTGGCTGATAATTTACAAAGTCTTTTTTTCTGTTTCGTACGGTCAGAGACTTTTGTAAATTCAATCCCATAAAAACAATGTTCCAGAAAATGTACTCAATGACTGATTTTATTAATCCGGGTATATGGGTAAGATTTTGTAGAGCTGGCTTTAAAGGCATCGTCCACCCAGAATCTCGAATTCCATCGCCTCAAGGCCTTTTCATGTCCCTGAATCCGAACAGGAAGTCGAGAATCCGCGGAAACCCCGACAATCCTCGTTCCGCAGAACCCACAGGCCGGCTTTCCGGAACGGTGATTGGATGGGCGCGCACGGATGGGCGGGCATGGATGGGGAGGGCGGTGCCATCTGGGGGTCCTCGTGCATCTTCGTTAATCCGGAGCGATTTTCTCGCTTCCAAAGCGACAAACTGCGTCGCGACTTGGAAATCGGCTTAATAGGGGGCCCTACTATCATAAGCTGTCAAAAACTCAAGACCCTCAGTTTAGGGTGGACGGTGCCTTTAACACAGATTTTCTGCGTAAAACGAGTCATTAATCCCTCTTTATCGCCGCAGGATTACGCCAAGCATTGAAATGCAATCCGTTTTAAGAATGATTGCAAAACTAAGAAGTTGGAAGCAGTTTTCGCATGCTGATTCCACCGAACTTTGTACAGGATTGCAGAGCACTCTTTATGGCGCAATTCAAAAGTTCCAAGACGATTTGGATCTCCTCGCACGATAAAATGAGGTAAAGAAGTAATCCGCTTGTATTTGTAAATTCGACTCTCAAAAAGAAACAACTGACCGATTACTGGTAAGGATACGGCTAAGAATACAGAGAATGCCACCGCAATTGTCACTCCTTTGCCTTCCAAATCTTTTGTGTAGAAAAGTCGACCATCGGTTATGTAGAAATCGACTGCTATCAGACTGCAGAGTCCTAAAATTCAATTCGCGCAGGTCATGAAGCAAAATCGAAAAAAATAGGACGATACGGCAGATGCCAGTACATGTGAAGTAATAATTTATCAATTTACACACCATTTACTGGTTATGGTTGCACGTCATTATTCTCCACATCACGGATTCTAATAAAAATTGCACTTAAGCGTTCTCATGCTTTAAAAAATCGGCAATAAATGCATACCAATGAAAACAAGCTCGACGAGGCAGATGAGAGGAACAGCATCTCGGAGAGACACACAGCCTATACAGCAGCGATGCTGCGAACATGGGGCCACGGTGAACACGTGCATGGCAGCCTGAAAAGCAGCTTGTGATGGAAACACTATTTTTGCAAAATCTGAAATATAATATTTGGCTGAGAAAAACTTATTCCTTTTTGCAGCTCCCTGCTTCTAAATATCCGATTACACAAGCGAAAATCACAAAATATGCCCAGTGAAGCAAGATGAGGCAAGATTGGCTACTATAAAGAAACAACGAGGTAACTCCAATGAAGAAATTCAATTTATTCTCATGCATTTTTGAGCATCTAATTCTCAACCGGCATCACTTGCAGCTAGACTAATAAATTAGAAAGCAAACGACCGAGTGGAATTCAAAGCTTCAGTTCTCAACCTACGTTCATTTCAGTTTTCTATGTACTTTTCAAATAAAGAGTTCGGAGAGCATGAGATTCTAAGGAATTCACGAAGTAAAATTGTCTGTCTGTAAACGTATGTGAAGAAACGGACAAAAACCTTTGGTGTAACTGCGAAACTCTTTAAGGAATGAAGTGTGGTGGAAACCTGGTTTCTTTTCTCTAGGTACTACTAATGTTAAAAAATAATGCATTTATGTCGAGAAAAGGCAAAATATTGGTAGAAAATCTTGCCTAGAAAGGAAATGTTTGATCCAAAAATGCTCAATGAAAATATAGCAGTTGATTATGAGAACAATTTCACAACAGATTATAACCTTCACCATGTGATAGCATGTCTCCGTGGTGGGATGGCAGAAATTGAGTGAATTTTCATAAACGAGGGTGCGGGGCAATTATTCACTTTGTGCAAACATTTCTGTAGGGCGGACGAAGAAGAAACATAATTTACCCTATCTTCCTCCTAAAGAAAATGAGATTTTCAGGAAGTCCTCAAATTGTGCACATCTCATTACCAACCACCTTGTCCTTACGCTAACCTCCATGCGTGGCTCAAGGTCCCTGGTACCCAGAAGTTGTTCTATAGCAAGTACCCTAATTTCACGCGTATAAGGCGCATTTTTTCGAAATTTCAGCTTTCAGGCTCAGCCGCTTCAGTGTATTCCGGAAAATCCTTACATCGCATGATTCTCTCAAGCAATATACAGCACGTTATAGGGTCCTTTGGTTGTAAAGTCCTTTGGCTTGTCTGGGCTGGTAGATTTTGCAAAGAAATCCCCCGCGCCTTACTGAAATTAAGGTAGTTTCGGGTTGAAGATCACCAGATTTATTTGCCATAAAAGCCCAGGTAAACAATTATGATAGGTTAAAACCAAAGCTTTTTTGACTTTATCGCATAGCTTTTTCCTGCCTTTAGGCCTTTGCACTAATCGTTTTGTTTATGTGTTGAGGTCATGCAGTTAGCGGTTCCTGGATAACTATTGTTATGTTTTCGAGAAAATTGAAGTTGAAAAACATCAATACTTTGCTTTTGCGTTTCAAGCTACATTGAAACATCTAGAACAAATTATGGGAGTTTTAGTTTTTGCAGAAGAACTTGGATTTGCTAATGATTTTGGGCTTGGCTACATCCTTCTTTTATTATTTTTGGAAAAAAATCTCTTGTGATTGAAATTCTCTAAAAAGATTTAGGACCTTTTATTAATCAAGTGAGAAACTTAAATATCTGAAAGTTTTGTGAAGTTTAATTAGTTTCTTGCCGCATCCTATATGAAATAGCCGCTGGATTATGAAATATATTGCATATCTTCAAATGTACTCCTTCTCTCTCACTAATGTTCATAAACACAATCTTGGAGCATTTAAAAGCTTTAGTCTATTTCGACTTCAAATATGAGGTGTGAGTCTTGAAGGATGTCTCTTATCGTCACCTTCGACTGAAACCTGGACTTTCATTTGAAAGCAGGTTTTGAGCCAAAGCAGTTATATGCAGGGTCAAGCGTGGGGCGTGGTCCGCCACACCTGGGGATTCGTATTGAGAGGACAGGGAGAGGAGGAGGAGGGGGGGGTCGTTAGGTGATTCTGATATAGCGATAACGTAATATTCGTTGAAGGCAGCGCCCAGGCAAATCCGCACCTATGAGGATTTTAATGGAAAGTAGTATTTGGGTCCTAACAGGCACGGCCTAGCGCGAATGACTCACCAAGGCTGAGATATAGAACTCCAGGATCGTATTATCGGACAACTTGCATAGTGTTTGCATACTTTCGTACGAGGACACGCGAAACTGATGTGTCGCGCCATAAATAAGTGCAAAATACGATCTTAGGGTCCAGTTTGAGAGGCAAATATCTCAGCCTTTAGAACATCATCTGAGCTGCCGGTTGAGCAGTGTCTTAGTTAGGGTCTCAAAATTACTGTTCACGTGAGATCCCCATATGTCCAGATTTGCCTGGACGCAGCCTTAAACAATGTTGGACACGCCCATCATGCAGAATACTAGCACACTGATGTTTTGGCCCACCATCGTATACCTTTGATTCAACTGACTTGGCGGCTGGAAGGCGGGGCTTCGTGACCTAATTAAGACTAAATAATCCGAGAGCACGCGCGCGAGAGAGACGCAGACTGCGTCGCCGGCGCGAGCGGCCTTAATTAGCTCACAAAGCCCCGCCTTCCAGCCGCCAAGCCCATTGAATCCAAGGTTACGTCAGTAAGCATAATAAAGATCAGCATAAAAGCATCGTTTTCGTAGCTAGTATATCAAATAAATCTCCGTGGGCCAAGTTTCAACGAATTCTGAGGTTTCCAAAATTGGACCGCTCAAGCGAGATGGTCATTTTCGATTATGTTCACTTAGATGAGTTAACAACTTCTTTCTGCACTTAGTAGAAAGAACCACCACTTCTTTGCTTACTTTAGGAATCCTACTTCAGATGACCTCCAAATTAAGGAATTAAGAGAAGCCAAAATCTCGTTTGTTCCATTTTTCGCTTTCAATATCTCAGACTAGAGAAGATCAATCAGGCTCAAATCACTTTTTTAAAGTTCGGAGGATGGGCTGTCGAATATACTTTTCTTGCCATCTTTCCTCGCGATTTGCGTAGTGGCGCAGACTTAGCATATTACCGTAACCCAATATTCTCGCAATATTTTCCATATGCATAGGTAAGGGCAAACGACTATATCTTTCCTAGAAGAAACAATTTTGAAATTTCTGCTGTATAAAGAAGCAGCAACGATATAAAAAACCAGGTTTTTTAATGGTTTTAAGGTAAGTTAATGGGGTGGCACAACACCTAAAAAGCTGTCTCAGCCACAGCTGTTCTGGGGTTGTGCCACATCCCATTAAATTACCCCCAGGGAGACTATTAAGGAACAAATTCTAGACAGTTCGATAGCCAAAATCTCGTATTTTTTGTGGAAGTTATTGAAGCTGAATTCGTCTTTTTTTTATTTTGATGGTTGTTTGAAACGGATTCGTGATATAGGCGAACATGGAGTAGTGTTTTGGTTGAGTACAAAAAGAGGTAGCTAATCCATATTTGAAACATTGTTAACCATGTTTGGAAATGACACTTCACTTAGGTGGCTCAATTTTGGGAACTCTCAGAGTTCGCTAAAACTTGGTCACAGAGGTTATTTGACATACTAATTACGAATATACCACTATGCTTGGTAGAGTCTTTATGTCATGACTACGGTAGGCCATCAGAATTGTTGGGGGGGGGCGGTATCGAGACAGAACTCAGGAGGGCGGGGGGGGGGGGAGGGGGAGGTCATATCCTTCGGTTGTGTGCCACACCTCTTGCTCGACCCTGGTTAAATGCATATTCAAAAAAATCCGAAGATTGTTTTCCAATGTTTTACTGTCGTGTATTATACGAAATCAAAATACTCGATTACTCAACTTTCGAATGACGTTGAAATCTAACAATCAAGTACTCGACTTTGTAAATAATAGCATTCCAGCGTTTTATTCGAATGGTCCTTCACTTATTCGATTCGTTATGACGCATATTGGGCCCGGACCTCCTTTCCTACCCCAAAAAGAGGTGAAAAACGAAGGATCTGCTACGTTTAAGATATAAAGAGAGCATATGACCTTGTTTTTTACAAAAGCGGTAAAAAGTACTCTGATGACTTAGTGAATGCAACCTAACAATCTGCTTAGCGTCTTTTACCTCTGAGTGAGGAGCTTGAACAAAAACAAAACAGCAGAACAAAGGGATTCCTGATCCGGATGTGAGACTTTTTAGACATCCAAATAATGAATGTCGGTGCCGGCGATGAAATCAAGCTCGAAGTGATACTATTTAGATTTTCTCTCTGAGTGCTTATGATCCTCGCATGGCTTCCATTATCACTTTCATTCCATTACTTGAACTCAACACTGTCTCACACTTCTCTGAGATTTGCGGGTGGTCTCCTTCGGTTTGGGCATGGAAAGAAGGAAGGAAGAGAAAGAGCTTATGACTCAACAAAAAGCAATGCCCATTTGTCCAAAATCTCAACCACTGCCTCCGGAACATATGTAGTTTCTGAATGCACCTAGCTTTGATAGGTGAAGACTTCAACATTCAAATAAACTTCCAAGAGCTGTCTATAATATAAACTCAGAAACGTTGGATAGTACCTTTTTCTGGTTCTTTTTTAAACATTTTTGAAACTAAGAAATCAAAATGGAAGTTTACGCCTTTTCCTCAAAACAGAAAATCTACTGCGATACTTTATTGCAATAAAAAACAAGCAACCTCCTCTACAGAACGCAGATAGCTCAGCAAAACTTTCGACCCAGCAAGGACTCGAACCTTGAATCTTCGGTTTAGGAGACCGACGCCTTATCCATTAGGCCACAGGGCCTACATAATTGCAATTCCACCTGCATGTCCATGAATCCTACCACTATGGAACTTTTTTCAATGAGTTGCTCGTTCTAAAACTCCCATATAAATAGCGGCAAGTGCCGCTCTAATAATGAAGTACGGTAGAAAACGAAATTAAAATGAAGAAATGAGGTGAGATACTTATGGGTCAGTAATTTCGGAAAAAGCAGGATTTACTATTGTGCGAGTTCCTTTGGTCAAAACACAGATGTATAGATGTGGATTAAAGGTTAAATGATTTCTTTCATCTTCCTCCGAGATACATTTATTAGG